CCCATAGCATTTCCATAGGATGGTTGTGGTCAACACCATTCATCAACCTCTAATGGGCTCAAATGGAACTCTAAAATCCCCCGGGACCTGCCTTGATCTAAGAAAAGAAAAATTGCTAACGGCACTTCTTAAACTCGGAATTTATGTCTTCCCATAAATTGACCTTGTAGGGTTATTTGTGGATTCCAATAGGGAAATGACCTTCACAGGCCCCTGCACCTCCTGAGCCCTCCCTGCTCCCGCCCCCACCAGCCGATGCTGACGTCTTCCGTCCGATCCCGTTAAGCTCCAGGCCAGGGTCACCGGGGACAGCATCACGGCTGGGTGTCGAGGCTTGTTCCTTCTGCCATTTGTTCATCTATTTGCTGAGTATTTATTGCACGCCTGCTTTTTCCAGGCAGGGTGCTAAGTGCTGGAGACACAGTGAGCAGACAGTGTGTGCTCTCATGGACTTCCCACCTAAACAAATAATGACACAGCTCTCATTCAAAGGAAACTGTAAAGTGAGCTCTGGAGAAGCATGGATGCTGTGGACTCTCTGGGCGGCTTTGGCAGGCTCTGTCGCCCGCCCCTCCTATTAAGACGGGTCTCTGGGTGGCGGGCGGTGACAGTGTATGAGACACATCTCTCGACACCCCCTAAACCACCACCAACCTACTCAGCCCTTTGGTGTGAAGTCTCCACCTCTGATCATCCCTGCCCTGGCCAGGGATCTCCTGTGCTCTGCTCCGCACCCAGCTCCTGGCTCCCTCCTTCAGACAGCAGCCCAATTACTGGGTCCTTCTGACCTAAGGCTCAGGTCCCTGGGGGATGCCACCTGCCAGGGGTCCCCCGGACTGTAAGGGAGGAAGGGAGGTCAGAGCATCCTTAGGGCAAAGCCCACTCATCCTCCCACAAGCTTTGATTTGTTTTACAATGTGCAAATCTCCTTTTTCTGATGATAAAACTAAAATACATATATTACAATAGAAGTAGCATTTATGTAAAATAATGTTTTACTTAAGATACTTTATATACAACATTTATAGTGAAAATAACATTTCAGAAGAGGATAAAGTTCAAGTTCAACCAACATATTCCCATCTTTTACATCTATTGCCAGAAAGAACCACTTTTAACAGTTTGGTACTTATTCTTCTAGATATGTTTGTGTTTATGTAAACATACGTGTTTATCTTCATATCGTCCTACATCTGCATATTGTCCTGTGATTGGCTTTTTTTCATGTGAAAATTCATCACAGACACTTTTCAGAACAGTACGTGTAGATTCCCCTTGTCCTTGTCAGCTGCCCCATATTTCACTGTAGGAATGCACCGTAACTTCTCAGGGAATCAATCCCCCATTAACGAACATTTAAATCCTGCCATATTTTGTTGTAATAATCTTGTAGCAATGACTATCCCTACATAGATGGTCCTCAACTTTAGATGGTTCAACTTACATTTTTTTCAACTTTAAGGATGGTGTAGAAGTGATCTGCATTCAATAAACGCTGTACTTGGAATTTTGAATCTGGACCTCTTTCCTGGACCAGGACCAGCCTCTCTCAGGAGGCTGGACAGGAGTGAACAGCCACCGCCACCACCCCCACCCCACCCCCCGCCCCTGGTCAGCCACGCGATCAGGAGGGCCCACAGCCTGTGCACCTCCAACCATTCTGCACCCAACAGCCATTCGGTTTTTCACTTTCAGTACAGCAGTCAGTAAATTACATGAGATATTCAGCACTTTATTATAAAATAAGCTTTGTGTTAGATGACTTTGCCCAGGCTAAGGTCAGCGTTCTGAGCACGTTTAAGGTAGGCAAGGCTAGGCTAACCTGGGATGTTCGGTAGGTTAGATGTAGTCAATGCTTTTAAACTTATTTTCAACTTCCAAAGGGCTGTTAGGATGTAATTGCATCACAAGTTGAGGAAGATCTGTATACCCCTCTGTGTCCAATTCTTCTTAGAAAGGTATTTTGGGGGGCGCCTGGGTGGCGCAGTCGGTTAAGCGTCCGACTTCAGCCAGGTCACGATCTCGCGGTCTGTGAGTTCGAGCCCCGCGTCCGGCTCTGGGCTGATGGCTCAGAGCCTGGAGCCTGTTTCCGATTCTGTGTCCCCCTCTCTCTCTGCCCCTCCCCCGTTCATGCTCTGTCTCTCTCTGTCCCAAAAATAAATAAACGTTGAAAAAAAAAAATTAAAAAAAGAAAGGTATTTTGGGTCTAACATCATGCATTTTTACTGGATTTTCATACACAATAAAGTACTCTTCATCACCCTTCACTTAACACGTGGCTGGATGGACTGATGAACTCCATTTGCTTCTAGTTTATTCCTCTCTGAGAGTTGTATACCCCTGCTTCCCACAGTAGACTCCAGTCCTCAGCTAAAGTGTTTGTGGCTGAATCTGTTTATTCCAGTTGTTACTGTAAATGTGCAATTTATTTAATGGGTATATAAACCAAAGAGGTATGGGGGGAAAGAAAGTGTTGTTAAAAAAAGAGTTTGTGGTACATTTTTCTGATTCCCAACTTGAACTAAAAAAAAAAAAATTAATATCTAATCACCTACCCCAGTCATATCAGATACAGTGGCTTCAACTGACTCAAATTTCATTGACAGTGTGACCATGTTTCTGAGTTACATCCACTCTTGATCTACCTTGCCAGTGTTCTCTGGAAAAACATCCCGTAGCTGTTTGGTTTAGTTGTAAATTGGATTATTGTTTCTCCTTAGAAATACTTAAGAACCAGGCATGTCTTTTCTAGGGCAGCCAATGAATCTACCTTATAAAAGTTGACTTTTAGCCTTTCTGTTTACCCACCGACAGAGACGTGATGTGCAGCCTCACAGAAGAGAAATAGAAAATCTAGAAATCAGATGTTGCCTTCGAAAGTGAGAGACCGTATACAAACATCGTGTCACTCTCTAACCTAATATGACCTTAGAAATTATTTTACAGCCTCTCCAAACTCTAAAAATCTTTTATGTGACTCCTGTGGGTACTCAGTCATTATTTGATGGATGTACAGATACCCGGGGAAATACATTTCTGTAGGGCTGGCTCTACGGGGATCTCCAATTAAGTCAGAATGAATTAAGAAGGAAGCCACACTGCATTCACTCAACAAATATTTATTAAGTGCCAACTGTATACCGGTTGACTGGTAACGTCTGGGTTACGGTAGGTAGTGGGTACCCTGGGTAATAGTTCTGTCAAGATGCTCGTCATGTAGCTAAAGACTGCAGGCCACAGGGGAAATGCAGAAATGCAATTTAGTCAACAGAGCAAGCAATCTTGGAAATGCTCAGACCGCATGCGCACCTGGCCAGTGGAACAGGAGGCAAAATGACGACGAGAAAGATTTCTCATGAGATCTGTGAATTCTCTGTATCTCCCCACGGCTTGCCCGCGTGACCTGAAGTATCAACTTTACTCACCCTGTACGGCATTTGACAAAGCACTGCAGGGATTGCGAGACATCTCACTGCTGTGTTTTCTCTTCCAGGATATCAATGAGTGTATTCTTGAAAACTATCCTGAGTGTTCCAACCCCAGATTATTTTACATCATTCCATATTTTTGTGGACAGCATCCCAGATGCAGGTAAAGACTAAAAAGGACAATGGCAGGAAAGCCACCCGGGGGCACTGCGTGGGGAATCTCTTGTATGCCTACTCCCTCAGCCTTCTGGAATTCAGTTTATGTTTACTATTAATCTCCAAAGATTGCTTTGGAGACTCTGAATGTCCTATGTAGGAAGAAATGAACGGATCAGGGTCTGACAGAGGCCTTGGGACCCGCCCGTGAAGATGTGTAACCGAAATGCCAACCAGACCCTTTTTTTATTCTTAACTCATAGCTGTCCCTGCTCAGCCCATGAGATAGTAAAGACCAGCAGACATCACCCCACTGCTCCCCCATAGCGCCTGTATTTCATCGGCACCCGTCCTTGCCTACGTGCCCTGTCTAATTGGGTGTGAAACACTGGGCGCTCACACCCCAAAATCTGACAGTGTCTCTCTCAGGAGACACATCTTGTAGAAAAAGAGGAATGGGCTTCCTAGTCCTCAGCCCCTCAGCCTTACTTGGATGCAAGACCTTCTTTAGAAAGTGACTCGCTCAGATGGTAAGGCTCTCAGAGTGTGGTCTGCCCACCTCCTGCATCAGCGTCCCCAGGGCACTTGCTAGAAATCCCCACCTAATCACAGTGCCTGAGGTGGGGGCACAGATGATTCTCGTGAGCCTGGTCTCGCTGCAGTTTAAGTTCATTGTACTAGACAAACGTGTAGCCTGGAGAAAAAAAAAATGATAGTAACAATGAATATGATCTTCACGTGATGGAAAATAAAGCCGAAGTGACATTTTCCTGCAAAGGGAACACTGACTAGAAGGTCAGTGTGTTCCTGAAAAGATCGAGAGAAGAAACTGTTTCTGAAGTACAACCCATCCGTTGTACTTCTGGCCTGCTCAGTGATTACTGCTTAATTATTATGTGTGTTGTTGCTGTTGCCGCTTTGCTGAGTTTCCTGTAACACGGGACTCTGTTTACGGTCTGAAATCTGGAACTAGAAGCATCAGCTTTCTGCTTTATCATAAACTTCCTGAGTTCAGGAGGCCTCCCCACTCCAATCCTCACCCCTGTATAAGTGCCTCCTGGTTCACGGTCAGTGCTTCAGACGCTGGGAAGATTTGGGGCCAGATGACTCACTTTCTGTCACAGTGAAGATATTTATTCCAAGAAACATGATCCTAACTCCCTCAAGTGTTTTTTTTTTTTTTTTTTTAAATTATATATTTCCTAATCCTGGGGAGAGCACTCATGATGCCTTATCCTGGTGCACAGACGATGATTTTCAAAACTCTTTCAGAATGTCCCCTTGTTCCCTCAATTATTTGAGCTGGGTTAGGTTTATTATTACAGTTTTTCAAAAGAGAATCCTGGCTTGCCCAAATTCCCTCGGATGGGAAATGCCAGCCATGCCTGGAGCCCAGCTCCCATGACTCCCATCCTTTCCCCCTCACAGAAATGCACTTGGCTCAGAGATCTGCCTTGCAGATGAGATGAGGCCATTTTCCTTCTGTAAAACAAAACAGAACAAAACAAAAAACATAAAAGCTTGTCTTTAAACTCTTTTAAAGAATAAGATGATTAGCAGGGATGACCTAAAACTGATTTTGATTTCTATAGAACTACTGTATCAGTAAGTTTCAGATTTCATATCTTCTAGCTTTATTGGTTTGGTCCTTCTATTAAAAAGCCATTCTGATCAACCCTTTGATCAGTGTTTATAGGACCTAATTGCCTGTGTGTGTATTCTTCCCAAAAATATTTTGACCAGGGCCTCAGGGGGCGAGGCACCACACACAGGTAAACATGATAGCGGTAAGAGGTGGAAAAGCAAATGGCAGCTGGAAGGCTCCCAGCGGCAGCCATATTAGAGCTGATCCTTAAGGAGGTGGGATTGGGGCTCAAACGAATGGTGGGGGGCGGGTTGAAGAGATACATTCTCAGCATGTTGTTCCTGCATTTCGAAAATGAATCTTTGATTTGAAATCATTTTTGTATCCACGAAGGGAGCCTGGTGAGTGGGCCCTTGAAAGAGCAAAACTGAACGTGAATGAAAACTTCCTGCTTGTGGGGATTCTTGAAGAGTTGGAAGATGTGCTGCTTTTACTGGAAAGATTTTTACCTCATTACTTCAAGGGTGTGCTCAGTATCTACAAAGACCCAGGTAATTCCTTCTGTAGCAAGCTCTTTGGCGTTTTGGGGGGTTACTCACCTTGAACAGGACTCAGGCAATAAAAGGAGTAGAACCTTCTCTCCTGTTAATGAAGAGAAGTTGCCCTGACCTTCAAAGGAAGCTTAGAAACCTCCAGACATAGATGCCAAAACTGGGAGCTTCAGGTCCAGACCTAAACTTGCCATGTGTGAAAGGCCTGCTGGCTCCATTTCTCCCTTTGGAAAGTGAAGCTGGCAACATTGGCATTGACCTTGGTCCAGGGCTGTTGCCAGAGTCCACTGATGGAAGTGGGTGTGAAGGAACCATCAGGTGATCCTGTATCTGGGCCCTACTTCCATCTGACAAAGCACTCTGGCATATCCGATTCTGGCAATAGAATAGACACAGAAGCAAATTGAAAACGCAATTACGATTTTATTCTCACGAATGGCGTGGTTTCCAAATAGAAGCGAGAAATGGAATGCAGCAGAGAACAAGTGCAGAGGGTGCCTGTGGTATCACTGTAAAGATAATTACTTTCAGAAATCCATCATTTATTTTTCTCATTATTATCATATCCGGAGAGAACGGCAAACAACGTTGTTTCTCTCCCATTCTCCTTAATCTACTGCTGCCCTGCAAGCCTTGCATACTTACTCACTCCTCTGGTTGTTGTTTCATCATCCTGAAATGGGAGACAGCCTTCTGCTGTGTAGAAATGAGGTTCCCCAAACAGATGAAAGGTTCCCCAAACGCAGCCCTGGTGCCTCCCGTTCACCACCAGGCAGGTACCTCGCATCCCACCTGCACCAGGAGCAGGTGCCGATGCCCATGTGAACTGGTCTTTGCCCAGAGGGGCCCTGTTACATCAGGTGGCCCCTGCCACCGCCAGGGGTTTGCACGAGGAAGATAGCTGGCGTGTGGGTGCTGTCCTGGTCTCAGCTCTCTCCCTCCGAGGTAACTTCTGACGTGCACATGACCAGGAACCTTCACGCGAGCCCTGCAGGTCTGTCTCCTCAACAGGAAATGCAGTTTGAATGGCTGGAAGCATCATCGACCCTAGTCACTTTTTGAAAGTAGGCCTTCCTCTGCCCTTTCAACAGTGGGCAATTTAAAGAATTTGAAGAGCCATGCTGTGACCAATTTTTAGCTCTGTAAGATAACATAAACTTGGGTCTTTGTGCAAGGTGAGGTCTGACCCTAAGTTAGACTTTTTTGCAGAAAAAGTTTAGGTTATTCATTACTTCCGCTCTTTGGCTTTATCTGTTTGTATAGCATGCGTGTGTGCATGAGTGCGTGTGTGCACAGATACGTATGTGCGCTTGTGTGTGTGATACATAGTACGAGATAACAGGTGAACGAGGCGCGCCTGGGTGGCTCAGTCGGTTGAACATCTGACTCTTGGTTTTGGCTCAGGTCATGATCCCAGGCTCGAGGGATCAAGTCCTGCCTTGGGCTCCACGCTGCGCATAGACCCTGCTTAGATTTTCTCTCTCTCCCTCTCTCTCTCTCTCTCTCTCTCTCTCTCTCTCTGCCCCCTCCCTCACTCATGCTCTCTCTCTCTCAAAAATAAAAAATCATAAAAATATTTTTTTAAAAACATGAACGAAACCCTGGAGACACAGAGTTGTCAAAAAAATGAACACACTCTCGTCCCAGCCTTTGAGAAGAGTTTCGGTCAGTCTACATCACACACGCCATCCGTCCTTGGATCTGGAACTAGTATCGTGGGCCCGATAAGTGAGGCATTTTATCTTTGTTCTTCTTAAATACAAATTGACCACAAATAAAAACCCCAGCCCCAAGAGCCCACTTATGTGCTGTTGTCAGAAGATATCCTCTTGACTTCTCAACTGTCATCTCCATTTAGATGCGTGACTTCTCAGAAACTGGGCCTTTGTCCCATGATCCAGAAGCACGTTTAGAACATATTTCTGAAAATTGAGTTACTATTAGCTCTTGTGGCTTCAGCCGCAGTCTTTCGACCTTATAAAGATTTTTATCCTTTTGAGTTAGGCCTAGGAGTATATTAAATAATCTGAGGCTTGCTGCCTTAGAGAGGGTAAGGGGGGGTCCGATACTCCTGTGTGGTGGGATGAAAGGTTTCTCTAAGGCCGGGACCGACACATGACTGGTTCACACAGTCCAGCGTATTAGTGGTTAAAATAGTGAAATATGCCTATACTGCCCTCAGTGCCCACACTTGGCTGCCCTGTCTGCCCTTGCCACGCCCCCTCATCCAACAGTGAGGTAACAAAAGAGGTAATTCACAGGCATAGAGCGAGTCTTCAGGACTCTGGCCCAGGGCTACACTCAGCAAGTGTTGTGAATTCAGGTCCTGAGTGGACCTGGTTGCCACATATTTTGAATACCACCCCAGTGTGACGCTCTCAGCTGCCACACGACATGTATATAACAAACTGAACCCTTGAGTGATTGCTCAGAACTTTCCACCACGTTCTCTGGTCTCTCGGGCATCTTCTGGAGAGATTGTTGTGTGGTGACATTGGCAGCCAAGCAGCCCCACAACTGCTGTGTCTCAAGGAGTCCCACATCCCCTGGGGCAGGGGACAGGAGATGAACATCCACTCCTGGCCAGCTTCTCACTATATTTTAGCCTCTGCAAAGACTAAGCACCTGCACTGTTTTCTTGTGCTCAGCGCATTGGTGTCACCCAGGTTAAAGGAAAGAGTGACCTCAAGTCACTTTAGCGATCTCATACCAGAGCTGCCTCGTCAGCCCATTTTTAGTCTAAATTCTCGGATTATGGCACACCGAAATCATTGCTTTTGCCCTTTTTAAAGAATTTTATAACTGAGTAGCCTAGAGAACGGAAGGAAGAAACACTAAAATCGAAGACATTGCGGGATCTAGTGACCCTTGGATCATTGTAGATGAATTGACCATAGAGCCCGAGTGAGATGCAGACCCCCCACTGGCCATTTTTCTTTGACGCTTGTCTTGTTATTTTTAAACTGTAGGTGTGTGCTGATTTTTAGTAATCCCCCTACAGCAATCTGAAAAATATTTAGACCAGTCTCATTACTGAAGAAAAAGCACTTATAGCAATGATCGTCTGGGGAGCTCGTAAAAATAGTTAACATCTGTTAGTCAAATGGGTTGTCACTTATTCAAGATAGGAATGATACCTCTTAATTCCTTGCAAATAGTACTGCTTGTTTGACTAGCCAACCATGTAGGGAAGTTCGTAACTTTTCTACGTAATAGCTCGACTGTTAGCCCCCACCTCGTGCATTTCTTGTAGGAGGGTATGCTGACAAGTGAATTTGTCTCCTCCCAAAAGTATTTGAGGAACTTAATTTTTAGAATTTTTTCTTAAAAAGTTATTTTTTTTATTAATGTCTGTGTTCCGCGGAGACCCCTTTAGCATATCTCAGAAGAAATGTATAATAATAAGTACTCAAGAGGAAAATAACAATGAGTTTTAGCACATGAATAACCAAGAGAATTTTCTTGAATTTTCTAGAATTTTTCTTCAGATATTTCTGAAATTTCTAGAATTTTCTAGAATTTTTCTTCAGATATTTCTTGCCAACCAGGGGTCACTTGTGGATGTCCAGGGAAGTACCCTGAAGTTTACCACTGAGTAAACTCCACTCAACCTTGCTTTGAGTTAGAATTAGAGAGAACTGGGTCCCAAACAGATGTGTTGGGTAAGAACAGCCAAACTCACTTGTTCGACCTACACAGTCTGATTTCTTTTTTTATTGATTAATCTGGATTATATTTGCTCATTACTTAACCTTTTCAGAGTGAGAAACTGGAGCCAGTCTAGAGAAGTTGAGAAGTTGATCCATAGTCACCCACCAAAATGTGGAAGTAAAAGGCAGAACTCAATATGTTTCTGAGCCATGAGTATTAATGTGCTTATGGATACTTTTTCTCCTTAACTCTTACAAACTGACATGCTGTGAGCCGCCAATGTGTTTCTTAGTCATAATTTCTTTAGGAGCTCAAATCACAGTGGTGTTAGGAGCCAAAACAAATAAGCAAATTAATTAAAGGCAGAGAACATGTGAATATCTGTGATAGGAACAGCCCTTAAATGAATGTCCCTTGACTTGGCAAATGACCGAGCTGTTATGATTCAATAGCGCCACCTAGCATCCAGGCGTTGGAACTTCATGACCTAACATTAATCCCCATTATCTTTCTTCCGCTTGGAGGCTCGAAAGCTGTGTCCAAATTCTTTTCGCTTGTATTTTAAATACTTTCCGTTACTAGCATTACATTTGTATTCATTTTCAACTTTTTCCCGTTACAAATGTAAACATTGGCGCCACAGTAGGGAATTTACTACACTTCTGTGGGTTGCCTTGAGACTCTGGCCACCAACCATTACAAAGGAAAAGTGTGTAATTCCAAACAAATGACTTATGTACTAACTCTGCAGAGTTCATTCATAAACTGAGTGCTTTAAAAAAAAATACATATTTTTATGTAAGTATTTTTATAAGCGATGACAGAGTACAAATTTAAATATTTTTTTCAACTATGCATGAATGATAATCAGACCTCCTATTAGAAGTATAGTAATGTACTCTGAGTTCATTTGCATTGTTGTATTTAAAGCTGAGGACATTTGGGGTGCCTGGGTGGTGCAGTCGGTTAAGCGTCCGACTTCAGCCAGGTCACGATCTCGCGGTCCGTGAGTTCGAGCCCCGCGTCAGGCTCTGGGCTGATGGCTCAGAGCCTGGAGCCTGTTTCCGATTCTGTGTCTCCCTCTCTCTCTGCCCCTCCCCCGTTCATGCTCTGTCTCTCTCTGTCCCAAAAATAAATAAACGTTGAAAAAAAAAAAAGCTGAGGACATCTACATAGAAAATAATAGCAAATATGTTGAAGAGAAAAGTTAATATGGTATGCTACAGGAAACATTCAAGTTTTCCTCCATCTATCAATAAAAATGCCAGACTGGGTTTAAACAAATGCTAAGTGATTAAAGCCTGGCCTATGTATCATAAAGAACAGCCATTCTTTAAAGAAAGAACACT